ATAAATGCTTCCCCTCCCTTCCATCACACATGAATCTTTTTTCTTGAAAGCTAAAAGAGGAAGGAAAACCGACACCACTTCCTTTTATCCCCTCAGTGCATGAATATACAAGTACAACTTCAAAACCGGACGCCAACGTTTTCACTCGCCTCTGAGGCTGCTTACTAACAATTTGGAGACCCACCTTTGTTTTTGATGGAAAAGCTGCTGACTTGATCAACACAGGCTGAACAGACATGGAAGCTGCAGTTGGACTGTTGCTGGTGTTGCTTGGAGTCTCTCATGGTGAGTAACTTATTTTTGTCATGTCGTCTCTACTTATTAATTTCATAATCAATAATATGTTTCCAGCCATGATTAAAAAGGAGAGAGAGAGAAGAAAGTGCTATATTTAGCTGAAGATATTTTGTTCAACATATGTTGAACACAAACTATAGATCCTGTCGTACTATCGATCCAATACCAATAACAGTGCTGGTATCAATACTATTGATATTTGTGACAAAACATACTCATTTGAGTGCCCTGTTAACGAAGGCTATACCTTCATTAACAGGCCATATAGGTTACAATAAAAATGAAGTAAGACTATGATGGTATAACAATAAGGCGACATGTTTCATCAACAAAACCCTAAAGCTACAGCAGCTAAATCATGCGAAAATGCAGTGTGAATGCCGTGTAGTGGAATCTGAAAACAGCAGAAGAAGGAGAGCCATCTGTTGAAAAAAGGTGTAGAAGCTGAACTCTGCTTTATTTGAAAGACTATACTGAAGAGTGTCAAGAAAGCAGCCCATTTTGCTGACAGGAACCACATTATCAGTGTGATCACCAGTTTTGCTTGCCGGGCTGAGCCATGTTTTAGCTCGGTGAGATGAGCAGCCGTTCTCAGACCAGGAGGCCAGGGTTCGAATCCTGCTTATGGCAACATTTTCTTCAGTTAACACTTCAACTGTTTAAACTTTTTTCCACACAAATTTCAGCTTTTTCACCTCTTTTTAGCAAAAGTTTCAGTTTTTCACTACTTTTCAGCACAAATTCCAGCTTCTTAAGCTGTTTTTAGCACAAACGTCAGCTTCTTTTCCTCTTTTCAGCAGAAAGTCTGCTGATTCACCTCTTTTCAGTACAATTTTCAGCTTTTTCACCTCTTTTTAGCACAATTTTCATCCTCTTCTGCTCTTATAAGGACAATTTTCAGCCTTTTCACCTCTTTTCAGCACAATTTTCAGGTTCCTTATCTCTTTTTTGCTGAACATTCAGCATTTTCACCTCTTTTCAGCAGAATTTAGCTTCTTCTGCACAGTGCACATTTTTTTTCCTCTCATCATATCTTTGTTTGGGACCAGAAATGGTTTGGCGCAGTAGGATACGCAGCTGTTGTGAGATCTGGTGGCAAGGGTTCGAGTACTACATGGGACAGATGCTGCACATCTTCCCTGCTTGCATGTAATCTGGTTTCTTGACACTCTTCAGTGTAGTCTTTCAAATAAAGCAGAGTTCAGCTTCTATACCTGTTTTCAACAGATAGCTCTCCTTCTTCTGCTGTTTTCAGATTCCACTACACGGCATTCACACTGCATTTTCGCAGGAAGTGCAACTTTTCTAGTTGTATAATTTGAATTTGTAATTTTCTAGTTTTAGTTTGTAACTGTTCATCAGCACAGGGAAAATAGTGCTGCTAGCTGAACCTTAACTGTGATTCACAGACCTGTATAATGTTCATCTGTGACAGACAGTGGGCACAAAACCGTCATTTTTGGTTTAGGTAGACATTTGCAGATTTTGCCATACTCAAATTTGTAACTTAAAAACAAACAAACCAACTGTGTATCCTTTTTTGTTTGCAGGTGTGGAAACTCACTGTGATGGCAGATGGGATGGAGCTCAGTGTTATGGACCTTTGGGAGGAACTGTGAAAATCCAGCTGATGGACAACACTTCAGAAATTAATAAATACAATTTGTTAAAAAATGCATTAAAAATATTAAATGTAAGAAATAATAAGGGTACTTCTAATTCTATAAGAGTGGATCTTTTTCCCAGTAGAGGAACATTTAGGATCAATAACCTGAGCAGCTCAGACAGTGGTAATTATACCCTTCAAACCTTTGACTCAGATGGAAGATCATCAGGCGGGTGGACTTTACAGTTGTTCATTCAAGGTAAATGTTGGGAAATTAAGCCATTAATAAATTTTTGGTAATCCATATAATACATCTCACAAAATTTCAGATACATGTGTTTTTTGCGTTCCCTGTTTTTCATTAGAGACTATAAAGAATGACCAAATACTATTTTAAAAAACTGATCTGTGTGTGTGTTTCTCTCAGCTCCTGTGTCCTCTGTGGTGCTGCTCTCTGAGTGTCTGTCCCAGGGAGAGATGAGGGTGTCCTGCTCCTCTGAGGGAGGGGACAGTCCTCAGTACAGCTGGACTCTGGATGGACACACACTGACAGATGCTGAGCTCCTTTCTGGAAATAATGAGACTAACATCATCACTCTGAAACAGCACGTGTCAGGACATCTGGTCTGCTCAGTCAGTAATAATGTCAGTAATGTCTCCAAAGAGGAGAGAATATCGACCTGTGGTGAGTGAGAATATAAATAATCTGATATATATATGATGATTACTAATTCATTAATTAATACTGTAACTTTGCACATCTTTAACGAATTATGTGTTTTATTGCTCATAGGCTTTATTTTCATTAACTGTACTTCAGTCAATGGGACACAGATATCACGGTGGGTGTATAAAGCTAATAACACCCTGTGTACTCCACCAAAACAGACTCCTGTGGGTAAGGATTATGGAACTACCATCAGTGATGAGCCATGGTACATTAGTAAGTAAAAAGTAACTTCAGATCCATTGATGTAATTTTCTTCTTTGCTCATTCTCTGTCTTGATAAAAAACCAACATGTTTTCTGATTCAACCTGCTATCTGTTTGTGCCTTTTATTTTTGAAACAGGAAATTTGCCACTGATCGGTAGTGTTCTCTCAGCGCTGGTAATTTTCTTGGTTGTTGGTGTAGTAGTCATATGTGCTTGGAGGAAAAAGCAAAACAGCAAACCTACAAAAAAGGGTACACTTTATTTCATCACTTATTTTGCTCAGATTGCTTTTTTGTTTTTTAGGATATACGGAATAGTAAGCTTTTTAAATACATTTTTGATTTCTTGTCAAGAGTTTATTGATAACTCTGTCATATATCAGTTAAATATGCAGATACTGCTATCCTGCTACAATTAACACAAAAACCTGTGAAACAGCTCTGTCTAAACAAAGCAAAATCCACAAACTATAAACTCTAAAGCTCGCTAAAGAACCCATGTCATATTTTGTGTGACTCATTTTATGTTATCTACTGTCTTTGTATTCCTTTAATCATTCACTTATTTTAATACTATATTTGAACCATCCCTTTTGCTACTTTGCAGAGGAAGAAGATGACCAGGAAGTCTTTGCTGATGTCAAGTTTGTCAAAAGGCAGGCAAACCAAGCTGAGAAAAAAGCTGCTGTGGAGTACGGCCAAGTAAATTCTGCAAAGCGACCTCGGAGGCCTGAACCAGCAGGAACTGATTGTGTGTATGCTAACGTCCATAAAGTCAGGTGAAGAAGTGCTCAGTGCTTTTGGACAGACAGCTCCACTGAAAGTAGCTGGAGTGAGGAGCTGATGTTAAGATGCCTAAAGGTCCTTCATTTAATGTAAATTCCCCGTATAAAATACAAACCATAGCTTATAAGGTTTAATGTATTGGACTATTTAACTGTCACTTTTGTAATATATCAGGTCATTAACACAACTATTGTTACATGACCTCTTGATTTAATTACAAACACTGAGTGTTTTCTGCATCTGTACTCTGTGGAAGCCTTTGACTAGTTCTTCACTTGGTAAAGGTTCGACCAACATGTAAATGGAAACATGATAAAGAGAAAGCATTTTAACATTTATGAAAATATGACTGTAAATAAAACGTCTTTTGTACCACACTTGTTATGTGAACAAAAATGTAGCTTTTCATATATTTTGGTTTTTGCACAGATACACTATAACAGTGTAATTGTAGAATATAAATGGGATATACCCCTGAGAGTGAGTACATAGTAGTGGTGGACAAGCAGAAGAGAAATACTGTAGTGACAGATGTGGCTATACCAAGTGATAGCAACATCTGGAAGAAGGAACACAAGAAGCTTGAGAAATACCTAGGGGTGAGAGGGAAGCTAGAGAAGATTTGGAAGGTTAGGCCAGCAGTGGTCCCAGTGGTAATCAAAACACTTGAGGCTGTGACTCCCAAAATGGGCAAGCAGCTCAGAGATTCCATGAACAACATCCGAGATCTGTGTCCAGAAGAGCACAGTCCCAGGAACAACAAAGATCAGATCATCAAACAAATTTAAATAAAAGACAATGATAAGACAAATAAACAGAAAATGGGAGGATAAAATCCAAACCTACATAGCCCTGTGTGAAAAACTTGTGGGACATTTAAAGACCTATTAAGATCTATTAAGATGGTGGTTTATAGCAGTTGACACATGGCAGTGGGTATTAGGGTGTGGAGTTCGCTTGCCTGATATGTGTCCACTTGAACAAAAGCTTTTAGTGATATATTCACCACTAGCTGTCCTTCTCAGGTTATTGATCCTAATTATTGCATTAGTGGGACCACAAACCTGTTTCTGTGTTATAAAGTAGAACCTTATTCTTTTTTCCAGTGAGTACTTTTGATTGATCCTTTAACAGCTAGAATCTAAATATGCTATCTAAATAAAGTGTTATCCATCACTTAAATTGCCACAGATCACCCCAAAGCTTCATAGTGCACCCTGCCTTCACAAAAGGTTTCCTCATCTGCAAATAGAAAAAGAGCAAACATCACTATTTCAAGTTTTCAGTCCCAACCAGAAGGACTCTGACCACAATTTGTAAATGTTAACCAAAAACAGAAAAAAGACATTTGGTTGCACCCATCTGTCTTAGTCCATGCTATGCAAAGGTGCTTTATGCAAGTCTGTGTCTGAAACACATTTAGGGTTCAGCTAACAACACTAAAGAACAGCTAAATATTATAACTGGAAAAAAAGTCAATTAAATTAATTCAGTTTTATTTACCTGTTTAGCTTCATGTGACGGCATCATGGCCTGCTGTGTCACTACCAATAATACAACTTACACTACTAATGAAAAAGAGACACTGTAGGGTCACTGTTCCTATCTTCAACCAACAAAAGAATATCATCTAACTAGTAATCCCCTCACACACACTCCTCCTCAGGGTCTTGTCCTGTCTTCTTTTAGGGCATGATGCAGTGGATCAGCCCTTTCCTGTTTGTTATGGTGGGGACTCGGAATTCTTCACAGGTTTTAAACATGTATTAATGTGAAGCATTTCTGTTCACTTAGTGGGAAACTCCCAAACACCCACTCATAAACTCTCACACAAATATACACATGAACACAAAAATACTCCCCACCGGAAAGTAAGCATACATTTCAGCCTTGTTATCAAAAAGGGGGTGCATGAAGTTTCCCTTCCTGATTCACTGGATGTTGTAGCTTAAAGATAGTTATTATTCAGTAAAATGTCTAGTTTTAAAAAGTGCACATATTTTAACAAAAATGATAATGATAAATTTAGGTTTTGCTTCAGAGAAGGAAAAGAGTGAAAGCATGAGTTTTAGACCAGTGTCAAAAGGTGAGTCTGCTTCACATTGCTGCAGGTGCTGTAGCACCCCCTGGTGCAAAAGGCAGATATCACAGCTGCCATAGTGCCATAATGCTGTCTAGTTCCTTGCATCCATCAATCTTTTTCATTACTGCCATCTTGTGGCCACAATCAGGTATTGTTGCTGAAAGCGACCTTGACCTCTAGGTAAAGGTAACATCTCCAGTAATCTGAAACTCTAATGAATGCGATAACTCGAGAAGGTGGCCACCATTCTTTTTAAATTATTAATTTTTTATTGAGGAAAAGCAAGCTACCCAAACTTACCCACTCCTATCTGAAAAAGTAATTACTTCATAACTTTAACAAGTGGTTGTGTGACCCTTAGCAGCAAGAACTGTGAAGCGAGCATCTTAATTGGATTTACGTGTGAACTTTGACTAAGGTCACTTCAAAGCCTTAATTAAAAAAAATATATATATGTATATATGTATATATATAAAAAAAAAAAACACCCAGCACGCCCCTGCGGGCGGTTTATCCTTCAAGCTCGGGTCCTCTACCAGAGGCCTGGGAGCTTGAGGGTTCT